CCGATGTCACCGTGGGTCAGCCCCTCCCCCCCGTGTGTTCCTGATGTCACCGTGGGTCAGCAGCCCCCGTGTGTTCCCGATGTCACCGTGGGTCAGCCCCCCCGTGTGTTCCTGATGTCACCGTGGGTCAGCAGCCCCCCCCCGTGTGTTCCTGATGTCACCGTGGGTCAGCCCCCCCCGTGTGTTCCTGATGTCACCGTGGATCAGCCCCCCCCCGTGTGTTCCTGATGTCACCGTGGGTCAGCCCCCCCCCGTGTGTTCCCGATGTCACTGTGGGTCAGCACCCCCGTGTGTTCCTGATGTCACCGTGGGTCAGCCCCCCCCCGTGTGTTCCCGATGTCACCGTGGGTCAGCCCCCCCGTGTGTTCCTGATGTCACCGTGGGTCAGCACCCCCGTGTGTTCCTGATGTCACCGTGGGTCAGCCCCTCCCCCCCGTGTGTTCCTGATGTCACCGTGGGTCAGCAGCCCCCCCCCGTGTGTTCCTGATGTCACCGTGGGTCAGCACCCCCGTGTGTTCCTGATGTCACCGTGGGTCAGCCCCTCCCCCCCGTGTGTTCCTGATGTCACCGTGGGTCAGCAGCCCCCCCCGTGTGTTCCTGATGTCACCGTGGGTCAGCCCCCCCGTGTGTTCCTGATGTCACCGTGGGTCAGCACCCCCGTGTGTTCCTGATGTCACCGTGGGTCAGCACCCCCCCTGTGTGTTCCCGATGTCACCGTGGGTCAGCCCCCCCCCGTGTGTTCCCGATGTCACCGTGGGTCAGCACCCCCGTGTGTTCCTGATGTCACCGTGGGTCAGCCCCCCCGTGTGTTCCTGATGTCACCGTGGGTCAGCCCCCCCCCCGTGTGTTCCTGATGTCACCGTGGGTCAGCCCCCCCCCGTGTGTTCCCGATGTCACCGTGGGTCAGCCCCCCCCCCGTGTGTTCCTGATGTCACCGTGGGTCAGCCCCCCCCGTGTGTTCCCGATGTCACCGTGGGTCAGCTCCCCCCCGTGTGTTCCCGATGTCACCGTGGGTCAGCCCCCCCCCCGTGTGTTCCCGATGTCACCGTGGGTCAGCCCCTCCCCCCCGTGTGTTCCCGATGTCACCGTGGGTCAGCACCCCCGTGTGTTCCTGATGTCACCGTGGGTCAGCCCCCCCGTGTGTTCCTGATGTCACCGTGGGTCAGCCCCCCCCCGTGTGTTCCTGATGTCACCGTGGGTCAGCCCCCCCGTGTGTTCCTGATGTCACCGTGGGTCAGCCCCCCCCCCGGGTGTTCCTGATGTCACCGTGGGTCAGCACCCCCGTGTGTTCCTGATGTCACCGTGGGTCAGCCCCCCCCCGTGTGTTCCTGATGTCACCGTGGGTCAGCCCCCCCGTGTGTTCCCGATGTCACCGTGGGTCAGCACCCCCATGTGTTCCTGATGTCACTGTGGGTCAGCACCCCCCCCGTGTGTTCCTAATGTCACCGTGGGTCAGCCCCCCCATGTGTTCCCGATGTCACCAGCGCCAGTGGCACAGCCGAGGAGACTGCAGCCTGGGCAGGTGAACCGACTTTGCCCAGGTCACAGTGTTTCTAGAAACCCGTGTTTACCTGTGTGTTCGCCCGTCGGACAGAAGGTTCTGGAGTCTTTCCTACATGCCAAGCATGCGGATATGCAAATGCATCTGCCACAGTCCTGCCCTCTCAGAGGGACAAACAAACACAGTCACAGGTGCCATGACAGGCAGATGGATGGGGGCGGGGCAAGGAACGGGAGACCAGCCTGGGGGTCACATCAGCCTGGCCTGACCCCAAAGTTCACACTCTTGTAATGCTGAGAAGGACAGACAGACGGACAGGGCTGTGCACGCCCTGCCTGTGACCACCTGGTGTCCAGCCTCTGCTTCCTGTCTCCTGCGAGCAAAGCGAGAGCGTGGCACGTGTCGGGCACGGCCGCTGAGCCTGCATCCGTGTCACACAGCCGGCAGATACTTGAGGATCAGGAAAGCCTTGCTCCGCCTCCTCCAGCTCACGTCCCAGCGCCATCCGCCTGCGCGGCCGTGCCGGATTAGAAACGGCAGAATCACCCCTGCTCCCCTCCATCCCTCACACCCCCACAGATGCTGCAGGGGCTGCTGCGGGGCCCCCCATGCGGGGTTCTCTCTCACTGTGTCACCGCCTGTCCCATCGTCACGGAGCAATTACAGCTGGGTTCTAAGTGACACCCCGGCCCCGCTTCACACTGCCAGCAGCGCCTTCTTCCTAACGGCCGATCACACCCGCCCTTGCCAAGCCCCAGCATCTCCCGTGACTTTGGGTTGCACCAAGAATGAAATCCAGATGTCTCAGTGGTAGTGTGTCAGGTCCTTCACAGTCTAGCCTCACCCTTTCTCCCACTGCCTGAGTCAGCCACACAGAACCTCTCACTAGAGGCTGGATGCACCTCCCGGCCCTTGCACACACTTCAACCCCTGAGCCTGCGGTGGGACCATCCCTAGGAAACTCCTACTCATCCCACAAAGTCCCACTCAGAAAGTCCCTCCTTTGAAAACACCTTTCTTTCATTCCTCCAAGAAGTCTAAATCATGCCTTCCTCTGTATTTGTACCTTTGTGACTTTTTCCAGTCTTGCATCCATGCTTTTATTTTTGCATATTCAAACCATCTCTTTGCGTGTGTGTCTTGTCTCTGGACCCCGGATTCTCAGTTTTCTATTTTATTCCTGACATCTGCATGCTGGGTCTGGGCTGCTACAGGACTTCCCGGGAGTCTGTTTTCCTGTGCATAGCACCCCAGGCTTTTGGTACCAAACTCTTCTCTGTGGTTAGGCAACAGGAAGCAGCAGAAACCACCAGAGCCGGGACCCTGGGGCTGTCTCCTTTATCCTTGGTCCTAATCATCCAACTTCAAAATAAATTCTGTAACACCTCTAGTCACCAGTCTTGTCAGACTATCAAAGCGTGTTTGATGTTGTCAGCTTAAGTGATACAAAAAAAAAAAAAGGCTCTTGAGCCGGGGGAGGGGGGGCGGTGGAGGGAGCCTCAGATCACCTGCTGGAAGCTCGCAAATGGCAGCGGGCCTCCCTCAGAACTGAGGGCGCTCTGGGGCCATGGCAATGGAGGAGCATCTGGAGGCCAGGAGCACGGAGGTGCCTCGGATGGCATAAAAAAGGCACGTCTGTAGCTTTACCATTTTAACACGTATTTTTATTTTTTTGAAAGGCAGAGAGAGAGAGAAAAGGCAGAGAGAGGGAGAGAGGTAGGGAGAGAGGAAGGAAAGAGAGAGAGGGAGAGGGGGAGAGAGAGAGAGAAGGAGAGAAGGAGGGAGAGAGAGGGAGAGAGAGGAGGGGGGAGAGAGAGAGGGAGAGAGAGGAGGGAGAGAGAGGAGGGGGGAGAGAGAGAGGGAGAGAGAGGAGGAGAGGGAGAGAGGGGGAGAAGGGGGGGAGAAATCTTTCAAGCACTGGTTCACTCCTCAAATACCCACAACAGCCAGGACTGGGCCAGGCTGAAGCCAGGAGCCTGGAACTCAATGATCTCCCTCGTGGGAGTGCCAGGGACCCAAGGTTTTGGGCCATCACCTCCGGCCTCCCAGGGTGCATGTTAACAGGAAGCTGGGTGGGAAGAGGGGTAGCTGGAGTTGGAACCAGGCACTCTGCTGTGGGAGGCAGGCACCCCAGGCAGCGACTTAAGCGCTGGGCCACACACCAGCCCGTGCACAGTTTTAGATTGTAAACAACTGCTTACCCCTGAGGGTACCTGGGCCCACACTGAGAACAAGGGAAACAACGGAGAGAGTTCTAGATTGTCCTGCAGCACAAGCATACATTAATCGCCTTCTCTAAAGAATCTGGCTGGGGGGAATAAAAAAATTAGACCAAAAAAGAAAGGATAAACCAGAAGATTTTACAAATTCAAACTGGGAACCCTGGAAAGGCGTGGAATCGCACGAGAAATCAGCTGGCGAGTCCGCTGCACCCCAAATGACACCTGCTGCTCCGGACCCTGCGTTAAGTCCCCACGCAAATCTGCACTTCCTCAGCCCTTAAAAGAGAACTTTCGGGGGCCAGCGTTGTGGCGTCGTAGGTAAAGCCGCAGCCTGCAGTGCCGGCATCCCATATGGGCACCAGTTTGAGTCCTGGCTGCTCCACTTCCGGTCCAGCTCTCTGCTGTGGCCTGGGAAAGCAGTGGAGGATGGCCCAAGTCTTTGGGCCCCTGCACCCATGTGGGAGACCTGGAGGAAGCTCCTGGCTCCTGGCTTCGGAGTGGCTCAGCTCTGGCTGTTGTGGTCATTTGGGGAATGAACCAGTGGATGGACGATATCTCCTCTGCCCCACTCCTCACCTCTCTGTAAATCTACCTTTAAAATAAATAGATAAATAAATAAATCTTTAAAAATAAACAAATGGGTGCCGGCGCCGTGGCTCACTTGGTTAATCCTCTGCCTGAGGCGCCGACATCCCATGTGGGTGCCGGGTACTAGTCCCGGTTGCCCCTCTTCCAGGCCAGCTCTCTGCTGTGGCCCGGGAAGGCAGTGGAGGATGGCCCAGGCCCTTGGGCCCTGCACCCCATGGGAGACCAGGAAGAAGCACCTGGCTCCTGGCTTCAGATCAGCACAGCGCCGGCCGTGGCGGCCACTTGGGGGTGTGAACCAACGGAAGGAAGACTTTTCTCTCTGTCTCTCTCTCTCACTGTCTATAGCTCTACCTGTCAAATAATAAAAATAAATAAATAAATAAACAAACAAAGGAGAATTTTTGCGAAATCCCATGGAACAGCCCTGACTCTTTTGAAGGAGAGCGACTTCCGGCCGGAGGTGGGGCGGGAACAGGTGCGCGTTTGCGGGGCGGGGCGGGGAGGGGGTCCCCACCTGCGCGCCAAGCTGCCCCCGCCGGGGCGCGGCGCTCGGGCGCTCGGGGTCAGCCCTGGCCAGTCGCAAGCCCGGCCTCCGCGGCCCCTCGCCCGTTTCTGGCACCTTTCCTGGCGGGTGGGCTCGGAGCGGCCTGGGGGTGGGGTGGGGTGGGGGGTGCGCGACGCCTTTGATACCGACTCGCGCTCCCGGGCGAGCCCTTTGAACCGCCTTTGATTCGCCGTCGCGAGCGGCGGTTCCACCCCCGAGGACAGAGCCGCGGCCGCGCCGCCGCCCAGGCCCGGTTTTGAACTATCGATCAAACAGATTTGGCGGGATCTGTCGAAGCCTGTGGGAGGTGGGCAGGAAGCAGGCGGGGGTGCGGTGGGGAGAAGCGAGGAGGGGGGCGCTCCTGGCTATAAACGGTGCGGGCCGGCGCCTGCCGCCAGACCCCGCGCGCCGCGCCGCCCGCTCTGGAGCCCCGGGGCAGGTGCTGCGGGCTGCGGGCTCGGGCTCGGGGTCATGGCCGCGGCCGTGCTGCTGGGGCTCGGCTGGCTCTGCGCGCCGCTGGCAGCGCTGGTGCTGGACTTCAACGACATCCGCAGCTCGGCCGACGGGCAGGGGGCGCGCCAGGTAACGCGGCCGCGGGAGGCTGGGGCGGGGGGCCGGCGAGGAGACCCCCGCGTGACTTCCCCGAGGCTGCACAGCCCACTCGCGGTGGTGGTGGTGGGGGATCATACTGACTGCAAATGGAGAGGGAGCTTCAGAAATCTCCTGGGAGGCGGAGGCCAAAGAGAAGCTGATGGTGGTGCAAAAGATGCTGGCATCCGTCTCTAGGAGAGGGTCTGGGGAAAGTTCATGCAGAATGCGTAGTCGTTTTTTCTAAGATTTATTTTATTTTATTTTATTTATATGAAAGACAGAGTTACAGAGAGAGAGAGAGAGAGAGAGAGAGAGAGAGAGGTCTTCCATCCGCTGGCTCACTACCCAGATGGCCACAACAGAGCTGAGCCGATCTGAAGCCAGGAGCCAGGAGCTTCCTCCAGGTCTCCCTCACAGGTGCAGGGGCCCAAGCACCTGGGCCATCCTCCACTGCTTTCCCAGGCCACAGCAGAGATCTGAATCGGAAGAGGAGCAGCTGGGACTCGAACTGGCACCCATATGGGATGCTGGCGCTGCAGGCAGTGGCTTTACCCACTACACCACAGCGCCGGCCCCTGCATAGTATTTTTTTTCAAGCATGGATTTCAGGATCTTTTGGACCACGTTGAACATCTCTCTTTCTCCATATGTATGTGTGTGTGTGTGTGTATATATATATATATATATACAATATATATTTTAATTATTTATCTGAAATGCACCCTGCTGGACCGAGAGGGAGAGACAGAGAAGAGGGAGGGATCTCACCTCTGCTTGTTCACTCCACAAAGCCCCCCAACAGCTGCTGCAGCCGAAGCCAGGAGCCAGGACCTCACGTGGGTCTCGGGAACCCTAGGACTGGGATCTCCACCGACTGCCTGGCCAGGCATAGAAGCAGGAAGCTGGCTGGGAAGCAGAGTAGCTGAGAATCAAGTTAGGCTCTCTACTGAAGATCCAAGTGGCAACTTAACCCGCTGTGCCCCAACACCTGCCCCAAGCGCATCTTTTAACTTCATTATTATCATAGCTATGCTACAAGTGGTCCACAGAATATAACATTGCATGTATTACATACAAAGAAAGCACCACCGGGAGACAGTTGATCTTGTCCTCTGCATCACTAAAAATCAGAAGACAAGAGATTTGGGTAGGGCTCGACTGATGGTGTGATGTACAGGACTCAAAATCGAATGGGAAAGCTACAAGCCCCAGTGTCCTATTTAATTAAATGGTAACAGGGCAGCTGATTTAGCAGATGCACACTGAACAGCCCACCACCCTCTGTAAGACACAGGAGGAGGGTTCCTCCCCTCCCACACAGCAGGGAGGAAAACAAAACTCCGGGTTTGAACAATCAGAAGCCTCTTCAAACACACCCTCTGCAAGTGCCTAGCTCGTTCCACAGGGGATTTCATATCCCCTCCGTGGGGTGATACCAGTGGCCCCATTTGGTCACGTCCCAAGTGGGTGGCCCGGCCTTGCGACAGCACCTTCCCTCCGCAGGGGCCACAGTGCCTGTCCGACAGAGACTGCAGTCCCAGGAGGTTCTGCCTGCAGCCCCGCGATGAGAAGCCGTTCTGCGCCACGTGCCGAGGGCTCCGGCGGCGGTGCCAGCGCGCCAGCATGTGCTGCCCAGGGGCGCTATGCCTGAACGGTAAGACCACATGCTGCTCCCTCCAGCCAGCGGTCTTCGGATCCCACCCACCAGAGAGGTCTCTGTGCTGGGCTCCTGGATTCACACGTGGAGCTCGGGAACGCAAGCTGCCTTTTCTTGGGGAAACTGAGGCATTGACTTCCGGGCAGTGGTGCTTTGCCAGTGACTTGGAGATAATGGTCTGCAGGAAAAGATTCGAGTTGGAATCATTTGGGATCACTGAAACACTGCCTTTTGCATTTGGGTTCCGTTAATTCCCCAGCTACCTTCTTGGTGCGTAAATATTGGCACGAGTCCCAGGAATCATGCCAGGTATTTATAAAGGGAAGGCAGGGCTGCCGGCAACCCAGGCGGTGGGCCTGACCCTGAAGTTTTTAACTGTCGCCCGTGGTTGTCCCTTAGATGTCTGTATGTCAGCGGACGAAGTGACCACGCGACTGGAAAGACAAAGCGAGGACCAGGATGGCACAGAATCAAGAGGGTCAACTGAGCACTCGATCGATGAAAACCAACCCCAAAGGAAGCCAAACCCTAAGAGACCACAAGGCGGCAAGGGTGAGTGAGGCATTGTGGGTGTGCTTTATGCCAAAAAACATTTAGAGGCCAGAACAGACTTTATTCCTCTCCAACCCAGAAACACAGGGGATGTGTCCTGTTGGTCATCTCTTTCCTAAGAGCATCATGCAGGGAGCCAGCAGGCCACGAGGACAGAAAGAGCCACCGCACTGGCCTGGTTAGCCGGTAATTCACCATGTAACTCAGCGCTGCACACCTGCTGCAAGCGCGCGCACACACACACACACACACAGTCAAGACCGCAGTTTAACAAATGGCAGTTTATATAGTACTAGGCCCTGGACATAATAGAGTGGAGACAGACGCAGTGACTCCTCAGCCTTGTATAAAATACAAGCTCACTAGGGCGCAGCTGTTTACAAAAGTGCAATGTCAAATTCCAGCATCTGACGTAACCTCTGACGTAACCTAGCCAGAGTGTCTGAAAGTGGTGAACCGGCCCCTTAATGCAACACTCTCTACATACTGGAATAAATCCCACTTAGTAAGACATTCGTTTCTCAAGGCTGGGAATCCCCCGTCTGATGACGCTTTAACCGTATAAAACGAGCAGTGCGCTCTCAGGTCGGGCTGGAACTTCCACTTCATCACGGCTTTCAGCGCCAGCGCCCAGCTGAGACCTGCGCACTCCGCCTGGTGGCGGCCTCGGCCCCGGATCCCGCGCCGCCCCAGCCCCTGCCCACGCCTCGCCCACTCAAGCCCATGTCTCTTGTTCCAGGACAAGAAGGGGAGAGCTGTCTGAGGACTCTGGACTGTGGCCCTGGGCTTTGCTGTGCGCGTCATTTTTGGACGAAGATCTGTAAGCCGGTCCTGCTGGAGGGGCAGGTGTGTTCCAGGAAGGGGCACAAAGACCCAGCTCAGGGTCCGGAGATCTTCCAGCGTTGTGACTGCGGCCCCGGGCTGTCGTGTCGAAGTCAGGCGACCGGCAACCGACAACACGCACGGTTGAGAGTCTGCCAGAAGCACAGATAAAAACCTGCAGACTCCCGAGTGAAGAGGGATGCTCGCGGGGCTCAAGTGGAATCCCGGCCGTTCACTGCCAGACCTCCGCCCGGTATCTCCTGCAGGCCAATCTCCAGGCAACACAGACTGACCCTACTGCCCTTCGAGGAACGGGCGGTGGCTTCTGCCTTTTGGGCGTCTCTCCGGAAGACTGGCGCGGTTCTGCAGCAATTTTGATTCTGATCTAGTGACTCGGTTGGTTCAAATCAATTTTTTGAAAAATTGGAATTGTATATATTTAAGGTACACAGTGTGATACCGTCATACACATGTAGTGAACTGATTACTGGAGTTAAGCTGATTAACATCCGTCTCCAAATAAACCTTTAAAAATTTTCTGGGTAAGGCTGGTACTTGATAGCGTCTTGGGGGGAAATAAATTGATGGTATCTGAAGTACAAGGAAACAGTTTCTTGTATCTTACCAAGGAAAATGATATAGTAAGTACTATGTTTATGCTTAAACACTCTATTATTTCCCCTCATTTCTTGAAAAGATATTTCACTACAAAACAATCTGGTTATTAAAGAAATAAGATTCAAATATAATATCTTAATTTGTATTGTCCATAACAATTACAATGCATTTTCACATATCTTGTTTTCAAAAACTTTATTTACCATCTGATAACTTCTTGAGACATATTTATTTATTTAAAAGACACAGAGAGAGGAGACAGAGAGAGAGATCCTCCCCAGGTGGCCGCAATGGCCAAGGCTGGGCCAAGCCAAAGCCAGGAGCCAGGAACTCCATACTGGTCTCTTATACCCTGGGTGACTGGGCTCCAAGTACTTGGTCCACCATCCACTGCCTTCCCAACCTTCCCAAGTGCATTAGTAGGAAGCTGGATCAGAAGTGGATCAATCAAGACTAAACAAACACTCCAACATGTGACGCCAGCATTGCAAGTAGTGGTCTAACCCACTGAGCCACAATGCCATCCCCCTTGGTAACTGTTTTGGCTTTTTTTTTTTTTAGATTTACTTATTTATTAGGAAGTCAGAGTTTCAGAGAGCGAGAGAGAGCGACTAAGAGAGCAAGCAATATTCCATCCGCTGGCTCACTCCCCAAGTGACCCCGACAGCAGGGGTAGGCCAGGCAGAAGCCAGGAACCTGGAACTCCATCCGGTCTACCATGTGCTGGCAGGGGTCCACTCAGGCCATCATCTGCCGCCTTCCAGGGTACATTGGCAGAGCGGACTCAGAAGTGGAGCAGTCGGGACTCTAACCAGTGCTCACAGGGATGCTGGCATTGCAGGCAGCAACTTAACCCACCACACCACAATGCTGGCGTACATTTTTATATTTGGAAGCTAGGGCTTTTTTCAAGGAGTGTTTCTTTCTACTTTTTTTTTTTAAACAATGTGTACTGAAACATTACCTTAGAGGGAAACTCAGACAAAAAAATTGCAATTTTTGGGGGGGGCCCAGCACTGTGGTGCAGCAGGTAAAGCTGCCATCCCATATGGGCGCCAGTTCAAGTCTCGGCTGTTCCACTTCTTTTTTTTTGTCTTATTTATTTTTTAATTTTTTTGACAGGCAGAGTGGACAGTGAGAGAGAGAGAGAGAGAGAGAGAGAGAAAGGTCTTCCTTTTGCCGTTGGTTCACCCTCCAATGGCCACCGCGGCCAGTGCGCTGCAGCCGGTGCACCGCGCTGATCTGAAGGCAGGAGCCAGGTGCTTTTCCTGGTCTCCCATGGGGTGCAGGGCCCAAGCACTTGGGCCATCCTCCACTGCACTCCCAGGCCACAGCAGAGAGCTGGCCTGGAAGAGGGGCAACCGGGACAGAATCCAGCGCCCTGACTGGGACTAGAACCCGGTGTGCTGGCGCCGCTAGGTGGAGGATTAGCCTGTTGAGCCGCGGCGCCGGCCGGCTGTTCCACTTCTGATCCAGCTCTCTGCTGTGGTCTGGGAAAGCAGTAGAAGATGGTCCAAGTGCTTGGGCCCCTGCACCCACGTGGGAGACACTCCTGGATTCGGATTAGCACAGCTCCTGCCATTGTGGCCATCTGGGGAGTGGACCAGTGGATAGAAGACATGTCTCTCTCTCTCTCTCTCTCTGTAACTCTGCCTTTCAAATAAATAAATAAATCTTTAAAAAGATTGCAATTTTTGTTTGAAATTTAAGAGGCTTGAATTGTGCATATTAGAAGTGGTTTCGCTTAGGGAAGCTCTGTGTAATGGATCACAGCCAAGTGCTACAGATTTCATTTAGGAGATAAACTCTACCCTGTTCTTTAAGTTATGAGTATGGATTACAAGACTATGGGCCAAAGAAAAAATTACATTCACGAAGGTTCCTAGTTTCTAAAACATCTTGAATGATCTTCTAGAAGAGGCCAGACTCTGGTGTGCCTTAACTGGGTGATGTGATTTATACACAGGGCAGAAAATGAGAAAAGAGAAACACCCACTAAAGACTCGCTATGATCTCATCTCATCTTTCTGTCTGCTAAACCCACAGTACATATGTACTGAAGACAGTACATAAACGTAAACCAAATGTACTTGCGGAGAAGATAAAACAACATCCAATGATAGTCAAGACATTTTATTGACTCTAATGCAAGCTAGGCATGAAGAAGAAACAGTCACTTAAAAACACCAAAGACCCTTACATAGCAAAGGTTACGGAATAAATTAAGACGCCTGGCGCTGTGTCCGGCAGAAGGACATGCCTCATTCGCTCCGATCCTTGGGTTCCCGGTACTTCCACTGGATGTAGTCAAAGATGTCTTTCTCGCTATCCACTGGCAGGGGTTCTCCAGCCACTCCTGCAAGTAGAGACAAAAAGAAACGGACCTGAAGAGCCGGTCTTGGAGCTTAGTTATAGAGGGAACAGGATTGAGAGTTCTGTGCAATTTGCTTCCAGAAGAACATGGTAACGAAGCCCCTAGCAAAAAGGTACTGGCTGCCTCCCTCTGCTCGCGTGAGCTTTGTCACATACGTGGCCAGCACTCCCGAAGGCACTGAGGATCCCAAGGACAGCCATGGAAGTGGCCCTCGTTCATAATGTCCCTGTGTGCTGCGTCTCCAGTGTAGTCATTGTGCACGACAAGGTCCCCAAGTGACCAGTGTGCCTTTGAAATTCAGGATGCGCCACCCCAGTCTACCCAGAGGAAAGCTCTATTTCATACTTTGGGGCACAATGGCAAAAACATCCTTTCCTAGCGGGGAACAGAAAACCACAATGAAATGCTAACAGCCCTAGCACAGAGTCAGCCATCCTTATTCTCTTAACTTGAAACAGCCCAGCGCCAAACTACCCAGTTCTGGGAAGCACTAAAAGCAGTGACACTGAGTTCTTCAGAAGTCTTGGAGATGTATTCTAGTTTTAATTGACAGCTGCAGGTAGAAACCACTGACTCCACCCCAACAGAGCTGCAAAGCATTCTTGCCCTGATGGCCTGCAGTTGAGAACCGTCGGGATCACAGCCCTGTTGGTTCCTGAGGGACTAGCAACACAAAACTACAATTACCTGGCAAAGTCCTACAAGGTTTTTAAAGAAACTAAATTTGCTAAGCCAGAATATCTATAACCTCCTCTTTGTTTTTTTTTTTTCCTTTTTTTAAAAAAAAAGATTTTATTTTTACTTTGTTTGAGAGGTAGAGTTACAGACAGAGGTGCAGAGGCAGAAAGAAAGGTCTCCTATCCCCTGGTTTTCTCCCTAGATGGCCACAATGGCTGGAGCTGAGCTGATCTGAAGTCAGGAGCCGGGAGCTTCCTCTGGGTCTCCCACTCAGGTGCAGGAGCCCAAGCACTTAGGCCATCATCTGCTGCTTTCCCAGGTGCATTAGCAGGGAGCTGAATTGGAAAAGGAGCAGCCAGGACTCGAACCAGGGCCCATATATGCTGGTGCTGCAGGCAGCTTAGTCCACTGCGCCACAGAACCGCCCCACAACCTCCTGCAGGCCCCCGATGCTCACCAGTGACTCCCAGGGGACGAATGGTGTACTCGTTGATTGTGAAGCCCTTTTCCAGGGCGTGGGCTCTCATATTCTTATTGAAAATATCACTCCCAGTGAAATAGAGAACACCACAGTAGTACTGATCTTTGGGTATCAACCTAAAAAACCAACCGTAAATAAACTGTTTAGTTACCCATTCAAATCTGGCAAAAGCACAACTCCTCAAGTTAATCAGGGACAGACAGCTCTCAGTCTATAGGTTCACCTGAAAAGGAGACAGACCCTGCAGATTAGCCCAATTCTGCGGTTTGTTTAGGGTTCAGTGAACTGTCCTGTGTGCGGGAGGCACGCAGGAGTGAGAGCATGAGCACTCTTACAGCTGACTTCGGCAGGAAACACGTCTGAGCCTGGAAGCCACGGTGGGGAGGTACAACATCTAGAGGCGGGGAACAGAGCCGAGGACGGGCGTTTGCTTCCTAGCTCTTCAGACTAACCCTGACGTCTGGGAGCAGCAATCAGCCCTTCAGGATAAAAAGGAGTTCGAGACGTGGATGTGAACTCCAAGGTACTCAGAGGAGGAGAGGGGAGAGGCAGAGGGGGCAGTCAGTGGTGAGCACGAAGTCCCAATACCTGATATCGATTCTTCTGTGTGGGTATTCCTTTTCATCATTCTCAATGGGAAGCTGGCAGACACCCTAAAGTGGACATTTTAAAGAATATTTAAAGATCTTTTAAGCTTGAGGCTTAAACTAGCATTTAAGGCTACTGTGGCTTTTGGTAGACGGCAGTTTGAACTCTGAGCACCTCTAACTTCTCGGTAGCTTCTCTCAACTGTGTATTACCCGCTCCTTCCTATTTCACTTCATGACAGACAAGTACACAGAACAGGAAACAAGGGTTGAAGTGAGCTGGACCCAGCCGGTGTTGGTGTCTACACAAGCAACTAACTTGGGAGAGCACCGACATCAAAGACGGGCCAAACACAGGAAGCAACTTGAAAGGAAACCATGATTATGCAGGCCAGGAACAAGGCTGCTGGTAATGTACCAGCCAACAGGACAATCCATCAGGAGACACGGCAGAATACGCCAGAAAAAGAACCGCCAGGGGCAAGGTTTAATGCAAAATAAAAAGTAGTATAGCAAGGTAGAAGGGCTTGACATTGAGGAAATCTCTCAGAAATCAGGAGAGAGAAATTAGGACAATTTAAAAGACCAGAACACGAGAGGATTTTTTCTTTCTTTTCCACAGTGAGTCTTCACATACTTCAGTTTTCAAACAAAAATGATCAAAGTCTGTTTTCTTTTCTCTTTCCAGGCAAATGAGCAAAAATTCTGAATGGGCATCAACTCACACATACGACGAGTGTGTACGCAGAGCTGTCTGTGTCTGCACAGTTCAAAGTGAAGGTGTCCAGCACTGCATCCCAAGGAAAACACACAGCTCACTTCTCAGCAGTCAAGTCAGCTACCCAGGCCACCACCAGCCCTACCTCTCGTCAGCAACACTGAAAACTACAACTTACACTGCCTATTCCTATGGCTCAAAGAGTGATCAAACGTGCGGACCTTCAAAATAGGAAACCTAGCTTCGACGGGCTTGAACCAGTTCCAACTGAACCACCCTGCACCGGCTCGGCAGGGGCTGCCCCGGAAGTACCGTGGGTGCTACCTCGCAGATACGCGTGTCTGGATCCACAGGAAGGATCTCCCTGTTTGTCACATCAGTCACAGGATTTCGTCTCCTGGCTCTGTTCCCTTCCTCAAGGCTAATCTTATTTCCTGCATTTTCTGAAGTGCAAGTTCAAGAACTTCTCCTGCATTGCTGTGAGAATTCTGTGTCAGTGAGCGCATTAGTTTTTGTTTTGGCATTTCAGCCCAGCGGCTGCACGGTGAGTGTTTGAAATAACGCCTCTTTCATTTCCGTATCTTCTAGCGTCCCTCGAGTCCTCACTGTGGGCATTTCACAGAAAATCACGCAAGGTCACACCTGCCCAAAAAGACTAAAATTCGGCGCTCATCAGACGCTTTCGTTCAGGAAGAACAGCTCACTGCTCTGGCAGGGGTGGGGAACGTGTCTGCTCTGCAGAGGGCCATTTGTAGATGTGCAGCATCATGTGTGGGCTGCACGAGCATTCAGTTTAAGTTAGCCTGCCAGACCTGCTGCATTTTGAGTTCTGCCTTGAGGTTGCTTGGCAGGGCCAGACCCAAGGATTTTCACAGGCCTTTTAGGGCATGCAGGCCAGCCGCTCCCCACCGCTGAGATGGCCTGGAATCACCCTGGCTTTCCTTAGAGTTAGCTACTCTCAGCTTAAGAGTTCCTGTCTGGAGACAACAAACATGCAGAGACAAACCTTTACAACCAGCCAGGGGCAGCCAGAGGTTTTCGACCAAATGCGTACGAAATGAGAATGGTTTCCTCTACTGTGGAAGCTGCCTTCATTCTGTAGCCAATCTCCATCCAGAAGCCTGGAGACTGTATTTTCTTTGGATCCCACTGCTAGCGTTGACTCATGGAGGGTCGCTGCTCTGACTCCTGCCGTCTCTTCCCCCAGGCACCTGCATGGCTACCGCCCTCGCCTCAAGTCTTTCCCTAAGCCTCATTTTCTCCACCGCCCAGTTCAATCCTGCGCCTGCAGTCCCAGCTTTCCCCAAACTCTGACCCCTCCCTTTAATAGCACTTACCATCTTAACCTACCACGCTAGCTAATTAGCTACGCATCTGTTCACGTTAGCCATCAGTCCTTTCCCATAGCACCCACATACAGCGTCTACTTAAGTTCACTGATCCGTCCGAAGCTTCTAGAACAGGGCCTGGGATATGGAAGACACTTGATACCCTTTGTTGAACTGACTGAACACACCGTGTTCTATTAGGACTCTTCTTCCCAGCTGGTTCTCCTTCCAGGGCGCACGCCGTGCCCTCACTGTCTAAGCCTGCTTTTGCTCCGCCTTTCTCTACCGATCTATTTCCACACAGGTGCTATCTTACACTTGTGCAGCAGTCCAGCCCTGGCAAGATTCAGAATCTTCAGGGCTGTACAAGTAAGAAATTGTACAATCAATCAAATATTTGAACAAACCCTTCAAACTCTCCACATGTATTTCTTAACTTGAGCTGTATAACTGTTCTCTGACACAGGACAAATATTGTCATTTTATAGGTGAGAAAGTTTGGGCACAAGAAGTAACTCAAATCACCCAGTGGCACACAATGCACCATAATGGAGGCAGAATGAGATCCTCTATGGCTTCTCCACAACAGGCTGCGTGGTGTGGAACCAGCTGGGGAGACTTCTGAAAGCCACCACCAGCACCAAGGGTGCCCTGAGTGGACTCCGCATCTAACTTCCGGAGCAGCAGTGGAGGGAACACCCAGCCTCCTTAGGGAGAAGAGAACCATGTTCTTCCTTTGTAAAAATGAGTCCGGCACATCACAAGTCTTGCGCCAAGAACTCACCTGCTTCCTCTGCCGGAGCTCCCTAACCGCCCAGTCACCGCAGGCTGTGGGCACAGCTTCTGTAAGCCCCGCCTCTACTGCTCCTGGCAAGAAGCCCAAAGCCCTGCCCAGTGCCCCGTGTGCAGGAAACCAGCACATCAAAGACTTCAGGACCTACAGTTCTGTGAAGATGGCCTCCCTCGCAGAAAGGCCAGTCCCCAGCAGTTCCTGAGCTCTGAGGGGCACAAGCGTGTGGCCCACAAGAAGGCAAAGACATTTGCAGAGAGCCCAAGACCTGATCTGTGTTCTCTGCTGGCTCTCAGGAGTACCAGGCTCACAGACCTGCCCTGTGAAGTGGCTGCTGAGGACCAGAGGAGATGCTGTTAAGGCAAGTGAGGGCTTTACGGGAAAAGATCCAAGACAGCCAGAGGAATCTAAACCATGCGAGGACAGCCATCGGTCTGCGGGTGAGCTATGTCCATCAACAGAAAGAGAAACTCAGCGCTGAGTATCTGGGGCTGCGTCCAATTCGCCTTCAGGAACAACAACTTGTAGAGAAACTGGAAAAGGAGTCAGGAGACTTTACAGAAATTGAAGGAAAGTGCAGTCAAAATATTGCAGAAATGTAAAGAATTAACAGACATGTGTGAGGACCTGGTGGAAATGCGCCCTACACCAGACAACGAGTCCTAATAACAAGTGAACCTGCGCAGCTGCAAATGCCCAGCCTGTGAATCTTCAGCTCAAATGAGAGCGGTTCAGCTTCTCCTAAGAGTGTGGATTCTCTTCAATAACGGAGTCCGCAAGCACAACAGCAGGCCATTCTGTGGTATGAGACGTTCGAGGAGGTTACAGGGCCTTCAGGACACATTTCTGAATTCGGACACAACTACCTTTTGCTGCCTGGGAAGCTCAGGCCGACGTCTATGGAAAATGTTTCTGGAAGCTGAATGTGCTTGGCTGCTGGTCCTAAGGATTCTTGGATTGGGAAGAAGGTACACTGAGGCTGAGGACGTATTTCTTGCGTGTAAGAAGCATGTTGGCTCCAGTTTTTACTTTTTATTAATTAATTAATTTATTTGACAAAGTTAGACCGTGAGAGAGAGAAAGGTCTTCCTTCCGTTGGTTCACTCCCCAACTGGCCGCTACGGCCAGCGCTGCACTGATCCGAAGCCAGGAGTCAGGTGCTTCTCCTGGTCTCCCATGGGGTGCAGGGCCCAAGTACTTGGGCCATCCTCCACTGCACTCCCTGGCCTCAGCAGAGAGCTGGACAAGAAGAGGAGCAACTGGGACTAGAACCTGGTGCCCATATGGGATGCCGGCACACAGGCGGAGGATTAACCAAGTGAGCCACGGCCCCTCAGGCTTTTACTTGAAGTGAACACTTGTGGTCATTACCTATAATATATGTTATGGCCGTTCATCTACTTTGTGATGTGCCAACGTAACCAGAATGTGGGGCTGCGTGATTTCATCTGAAGAGACGACGCAGGGTAATGCCGGCTGCACAGACCTGGTACCCCACCACGCCCGTGTCAGTCTGCAATCCCCCTTTCCTTCCTCTTGATCACCTACTCACTCTGCGGGGAAGAAATCCTCATAAGGATCCTCAGGGATAGGTGGAGCTTTTGTTTATTGGAGCTTAAAGTAGCTGGCTTTTTGTTTTTGTTTGAAAATAAAAAGCTATGAGAACTTAAAAAAAACCCTTCCATCTTGTGTATCCAAATCTATTCCTGACCAATGTAACATAACCATGAAGATGCTCCTTTCCCTGCAACAAGGCACACGTCCCTCCTATTGTCTCCAAAATAAAATGCAGAATGCTTCTCTGCTAACACATAAATAATGCCTAAGAAGGCCAGACCAGCAGGGAACACGGCACTCTTCAAGCTGCAGAGACTGTAAAGCACATATATTGTATCCCAATAGAATAAACCCACTACAATGGATCCCTTGGTTTGAATGAAGGCCTTAGTTGCTTGCTGTTATCATCGGAGTCTTCTATACTTTCAAAACAAACTGCTTTCTTATTTTTTAGCTTCCAGAGATTCTCTTCCTGGCAATACCTGCTGACTTGCCGCCAGGTATACCACTCAAACGTGAAGGCAAGAGAGCGTTTCCTGGCACCCGCTTTCTCTAGTCTTTCACGGACCACGTGAGCAGCAAAGGCCTGCACTGGCCTAACCTCCAGCGGCCGCTGCCACTAGGAGGTGGCTGCTCTCACCCCTGCCAGGCAGCGTCTCCTTCCTCCATGGAG